TATGTTCATCGACATCTGAGACCAACTGGCCTGAAACTGCAGAATACCTGTCACATTGCTTCCTGGCACTGACGTCAGGCGTCTGCAGGGAAGAGGACCGACAGCTACGTGCCGCTTGGTGCTGTGATACGTAGACGTGTCATTCTGCATCTCAAAGAAAAGGCAGTTTTTAAATAAATGTGGTTCTCAGCTTGGCACGAGGCACTCGGCCTGGAGACGGTGTGGGAGCCCCGCGGCAGGTGAGCAGGGCTGGGCTCTCAGCTCAGACTGGACGCAGGCTTTTGGCTAAAGTCACGTGGAGGCCAGAGTTGTGTGTGTTTGGGACACAGCTGGAGGACACAACCGGCCCGGGAGTAAGCGATGGCGCACACACTCCCAGGGCTCCCTGGGGGGAGCAAGGGGCTGTGCTTCTCCCAGATCAGCGGCAGGAAGGAAGTGCGCCTCCCACGGCCCGGCTGGGGGTCCGGCAGCACAGGGACGGCGCCAGTCCCCGTCGCTGTGGAGGCAGGTGGGCGAGGACCGCGCTGCACCTCTCCTCCCTTCCTGGGGAGAGAGGAAGGGCAGGGCTTCAGGGCTGTCAGACACACACAGCACCTGGCTTTTCTCAGGGCCCCAGAGGTTTAAAATCGCTTCGTACTGCTTTTGTCGCAGGTTACGTAGAGTTTATCCCAACAAAAGTACACGTTCTGGAACTGAACGCTCCCTCGTGCCCAAGCTGCTGTCTCCTGGCCGGCCGCTGCACTGCTGGCCTCGCAGCAGCTCCTCCTCGCTGCCCGGGGGCCGCGGGGCCGGCGCGTGGTCACTCTGGGTGGCACACAGGCAGCGAGGGGCCCTCGGCCACCGCTCAGGAGAGCAGCAGATTAAAGGTTCCCGTCAGAGGCTGCAGACGAGGCCAGCACCCCCTGCCACGTGCAGAGCTTCCCTGTCACATAAGCAAGCGGGGTCAAGCGCCTCCCAACCGCATCAAGCCCGACCTTCCTCAATGGAACTGTAGCCGCCCTGCCCCCACGTCCTGACCGCCACCACTTCTTCCGAGGCTCTGTTGGCTTCTGGGCCTTCAAACACCTGCTGTGCCGGCCCCCTTGGCCGTCAGGCCAGGCCGTGTCGCGTTCCCCTCCTCCCGGGCCTCCAGGGGTCCACAATCGCCCGTGAGGGGCCCCTGAGCTCGGGGTGATGAGCCACGTGTTTGCACCCACTCTGCTCACAGGAGCTGGGGGGACAAGCCCAAGTTCAGCTGGATCTGAGGCTCAGCTTTCTGCTCCTCCAGCTGGGGCCAGATCCCCCCGCCCACAGGCCCCTCAGAGGCCCCTCACAGGCCCAGGGGGGGCTGAGGCTGCCCCTGTGCAGAAGAACATGCCCACAGCCCCGGGGCCAGACCTGCCCGCTGGGCCCGCAGCTTGGCCGCGCACCTGCGCCTGTGCTTCCGGCCAGAAGTCTCACATGTGCGTCTGCTCCGCCCTGTTATCACGGCGATCAGAACACGCAAAAGCAATACTTTTTGCACAATATCACAAGTTGCTTAATGTTTGGATACCGATATCTTCTCCAGCTGGGGTTTTCTTAATTTAAGTCAACAAACCAGTCTGGAAGCACACATATTGCTCGTGTTTGGGAACCAAACAAGAGTGACATGTGGCGGGAAGACTTAAGAAAGACCCTGATGTGTGTGTGCGTGCGGTGCTGTGTGTGCCAGGGGGATGGCCCAACCTGAGAAACAAGGAAAGAAGAGGTGAAGCTCCCAGCCCCTCTGCTCCATCCCTGGCTACCCCCCTCCGTCGCCCCGGGACTGGCATCGAGACACAGGCACACGTGCACGCACACACATGCACACACGTGTAGACGTGCCCACGCATAGCCGCTTGGAGAGCTCCCTGGAGCCAGCTCGGAGCCTGGGGTGGCAGATCCTGCCCCCTCCTCTTCAGCATCCCGCCGCATCGGAGTCCCTGACGACCACTGGGAGAGTCCGTCCTGTATCCTGTGGCCACTTGAGAGTCCGAGCACCATCCCCCCCATCCCAAAGTGGCAGCTGCAAGCAAGCTGCTAGGTGGGAAGGTCCCTGCGGGCGCCAGCAGCACTAACACCATGTTTTCGGGATCAATCTTAACTGCTGTCCACATGGAATATTTTTCTTGTGGCTTTTTTCAGTGAAAAAAACATGAATGGGAAACGTTAAAGGCCTGTTAACGACACCCTTTCATCCATCAAGGCGCCGTCCTCGCGTCCTCGTCCACTCCCGCCCGCCCAGCACAGATCCTACCGGAGGCGACCTGGGTGACGGAGGCCAGACGCCGTCCATCTGTCCGCATCTGGAGCCACAGCGTCCGAGGACCCTGGACGGCTGCCCTCAGTCACTTAGAGACTTGGGTCCTGCAGTTTCTCCAGGCTCCAGGCCTGGCTTTCAACTGCCACCCTGTTTCCTTCAGACAGACAGACGGGTTGCTTGGCAGAGTTCCATTTAAATCTCAGGGTCTTTCAAACTGATAACAGGTAAAATTGATGTGAACTTCAGCTCCCTAAACAAACTTCAATCAAATGCCCGTGAAGAAGAAAGAAAAACCCTGTTTGGGCCGGGAGAGGCCAAACACAGTTCAGTCCTCACCGAGGGCATCCAAGTGCCCATCCCCAGGACCCCCCGCCAGGACGGCAGTGAGAAAACCTACCAGCGGACAAGGCACCTGGAGGCCCAAGCGCGTCCCAGCTCAGAGGCCACAGGGAAAGGCTTAGCTTCCCGACCGGTCTTCTGGGAAACTCTTCTGAGTAAAAGAAAACAGACTCTGGAGCCTTCTGTGCGCCCCACGGTAAGATAACTTGTTACCATTGCAGCTTGAAATCAAAACAGCACTAAGGTCCTGGGCAAGCTCTGAGGTGAAGTGGACAGTCTGCGCCGACTCGGCTGTGACGTCCTGCCTGTTCCCACGGTGGCCGAGGCTCGAGCTGGCACTGCTGCCTGTGGCATAGCTGCAGCTGCGCCAGCAGCCCGGGTGAGCCTGCGGGTGCGGAGGACGCGGCCAGCGGGGCCTGCGCGCCCTGCCTGGGCTGCGCCAGGACAAACACGCCAAGCGGGGCTCCCCACCCCCTGGGCTCCTCTGAGCAGCGCCTAAACCCATGGGCTCCACCCGACCACGCCACCGCTTCCCAGAGCTCTTGGGCCACCCGCCTGCTCGGTTCTCTCCCACGCTGACGCTTCTAAGGAAGTTCGGTCTGGGATGACACTGCTGTTCACAACAGGTTAAGGAACAGTGACTCCCTCCCTGGACATGCCTGGCTGCTCAGAGCAGAGGTGCTGCCTAAGGAAGAATGCGGGGTGGAAACGCGAGGCCCTGGGTGGGAACGGGCACCCGAAGAGACTCGAGCTGGAGACGACAGTGCTGCTAGGCAGTGACCACGCCGCACTGGCCGGCTGCTGTCTGTGTTGGCTGTGCGCGGACTCGAGTTAAAAACCCCGACCAACTTCCTCCACGGTGGACCCGCCCCCTTCCCCAGAGGCCTGGCTGCCCGAGTGGCTCCGACCCCTCCCTGCACCTCCCCTGCCCCTCGGCAGCACCAGCCCCTCTTCTTCGGACGCCAGGGAGTCAGGCTCTGCCGTTGCGTCCAACTCCCCTGCAGCCTCAGACGCGGCGAGCGAGTGGGTCTACGTGACCCTCCCGCCCGTCGTGGGAAAAGCACCAGGAGAAGAACACGATGACCCTTCGCAGCCCAGCCTCCCGCGTGGTCAAAGGCAGTTATTTCATTACACGCGTGCTTCTGCAGAAACAAATATTATTTCTGAATCTTTCACGACCCGGGTGTCCGGGAACGGCAAACACAGCACGCGCTGGCCGAGTGGCTGCCCCGCAGGTCTGGTGCTGGCGGGTCGAGGCCCGGCACTGGATGGAGGGAAACCCGCCCGTGAGGGGACCTGGGGCCGCGGCCAAAGGACTCAGCCTCCTTGCTTCAACATCTCTCTTCACAGGGAAAATATTTTCGTGTTTCCCTGGGCCTTTCCCGTCCTCTGCATTTTCACAAACCTGCTGCCCCTCCAGCGGCTGCGGCTCCAGGCGGCCTCTCGGAGCCCGTTGTCCCTGGAGCGGTTCGTGGCCCGCACTTGGGGAGACGGCTCTGCCAGTGGGAGCCCGGGGCGTCTCTCAAGCGTGTTCTGATGGCTGAGGAGGCCCCGGGAAGCAGGAAAAAGAGCAGGGTTTGTGTGGCCCCAAGGGCGCAGCCGAAACCGGTGGCGCCAGGCCACGGAGCTGCAGGGTCCCCTCGGGCAGCTTCGCCGGCGGGCCGGGCCCTTGCAGGCTGCACAGCCCGGGACCCTCGCTTGGAGGCCGCCTGAGGATCTGGAGATCACAGCGGGAGTTCCCCGTCCCCCTAAAGGACGCCTACTCTCCAGGCCGAGGCCCAGCCCGTGTGCAGAGGGTATGGGGCCTGCGATGTGTCCTCAGGGCTGACCGCACCGCAGAGAGGCCTGCCCGCCTGCTGGCAGCCTGGACGGCACGTGCTCCGGGGACTGCAGCAGGGCACCTGGATCGGAGTTCTACCCTACCCCACTTTCAAATCCGTCGCTGAGCAGAAGCAGGGCCGGGGCTCCCCAGCGCCGCCCAGGGCACCACGGTGGCGCCCTCTACTGGAAGCGCACAGACAGCCCCGCACCCAGGCCCCCGGGCCGGGTGCCGCAGCCTGCGCTTCCGTTCCGGGCAGAGGAGGGGTCGTGGGACTGTCAGTCACTGGAGCAAAGCACTTTCCTTACACAATTCGAGACGCAGCCAACCACCTTCACAGCCCCCAAGTGCGAAGGGCACCCCAGGTCCCCCACTCGTCCTCCCAACACATCGGGACAGAGAAACAGGCCCTCTGCTCGCACGTGGAGACACTCACAATTCTCACAGCTCGCCGAGCCGAGGGCCCCCGTGAGAATGGACGGTCGCAGCAGGGAGACTCAGGGTCCCATCCGAAGATCAGACATCTACGCAGCTCCCTCAGGAGCGCGACTCCGCCGTCACGAAGTCCTGAGAAGGACCACAATCAGAAGAGAATGCGGAAATGGTCATATTTTATTTTTGAGGGAAAAAATCCAGAATTAACTTGGCTGACCTAAGAAAGGGAGGCAATAAATTGTAAACTGGCGAGAAAAGCCTAGTTTGTGTGTGTTAGGTGCCTGCTCTTTTGTTGATATTAAGGTGCCATGAGATACGCAGTACACCCAAACTGCACGCGTGCAGGGCTGCATCTTTACGCAGGTTTCCGGTGACAAGTGCTCAGGCCTCCCTGCTGTTTACACCGTCGCAGGCACCCTCGACAAAGACACCGCATCCTACCGAACGCTTGGGCATGGTTTATTTTCTCCATACATCATATTATTTAGCCACAAACAGAGCTACAAGTTTCCCTTACGCTTTTTGGATAAGTCAATTATAACGCTAAAGCGACAACACGATACTGAAGTATCAGACCGTGTGCCCGGCAGGTGCTGGAGACGCTCCTCTCTGCCGTCGGTGACAAGAGCTGACCCGCCTTCGTGTGTGACCCCGGACTTCCAGGCTCGACGTCAGGTGTCAGGAAGGAGAGGTCAGCATCCCTCGTCACCTTCTGTCCAGAGAAAGGCTGGGATAGACTCCATTCCTCAGAGGGGTGCCATTTCAACCACGCCCATGCGCCAAGAGCTGTTTGTTTTCCCAAATCTTTCTGGCAAGCGGTTATGTTCTTTCCACTGACATGACCCCCAGTGGATGCATCCTGCATTCGCTTTCTGGCAGTTGAAAGAATAAGGCTGGAGAATCTCAGTAAGCACCTGTTTCCAGGGCCCGTCCCCTCTTCTCCAGCAGCATCATCCCAGCAGCTTCAACAGCCAAGAGGAGAGGGCAGGCGGGGAGCACGCAGGGGGTGGACGCCGGATGCCCCCTCCTTCCGGGGCAGTCGCCCTCATGTTTGCCAGCCCCCCGCTGTCTCAGCCCTGACTTAACAGTATTAGAAATGGAACAGTGACAGTGTGAGAGAAGGGAACAAGTTAGACGCACGGCGGCCAGTCTCTGAACTCACTTTGTCGTAAAATGTAGAAAAGAAGGAGCAGACACGCGGCACCCCTACGGCTCCAGCCCCTTTAATGTGGCAGTGCCGCCGCCCGCCGTGCTCCCAGCGAGCTGTTACTACAAACACTCAATCCTGGCCAGCAGGCTGGGAGCTGGTGGCGCCACCCAGGGCCCCGTGCCAGGTTCTCGCTGGACGGGAGCCCCCTCCACATGCCGGTTTCCCCGCCGGGCCGCCTTCGTGGGCCAGAAGCCACTCTTTCACAGCCACGCCTCCAGAGTAGCCGCCCAGGGCTCCGCTGCTGCAGACCACTCTATGGCACGGGATAAGGATGGGCATCTGGAAAACAGCGAGGCAGCCACCGTCAGGCTGGGCTCCAGGCCAGTGTGGTCTTTCGGGATCCAGGGCAAGGCCCCTGACCACGATGGACCCAGGGCCCAACTCGCAGGGCTTGGCCACCTGCAGGCTCTGTCTCAGCACTGCTCACCCCTTGGCCTCTGAGCGCCCTGCGTGGGCTGGGAAGGGGCCCAACGCCTGAGGCGAATGTGGGGCATCTTCTAGAGAACCCCTTTATGCTACGACTGGGGAGGAGAAAGCTTAATTTCACTTGATAAGGGATTTAAAACGGAGGCAGAATTTAAAATGACATTTCCAAGTTTAGGTACCACGTAAAATTCTCCAACACTTCCAAGATGTTAAGAAGAAACTTCGGGGAATGCTGTACTCACACAGGCCCCTTCAAACCAGAGGCTGGAACGTGTGGCCGTCCCCATGCAGTCCACGCCTCTTTTTGTAAATAAGGTTTTATGGGAACACAGCCACGCCCACTTGGTACTCCGTACCTGCGGCTGCTTTTGCAAAGCCTAAAATATTGATTGAACGGCCCTTTATAGAAAAGGTTTGCTGACCCCGGCTTTACACTACACCCGTGCACTGGGGGGGACCTGCTTTCCTCCTTAGTCTCTGGACGTGGCAAGTCTGAGGAGCTCCAGTTCCATCTGTTCCCACCTGAAAAGCTGCCACCACCACCCCACCTGCTGGGATGGGGCAGCCCGCTCTGCCACTGATCCCAGCAAGGACCCTCGGCCCATGCCCACCCTCATTCGTCCCACAGGGTTCCCCCCCGCCCCCCCCCCCCAAAAGAAGCCCTAATGGGAAGACAAGGCTGCTCCTGGCCTTTCACACCTGGAGTAGTCAGGTACCTGCTTAAATCAACAGAGTGATTCTACTAAAGCAACGCCACTTCACAGTGAAAGCAAGTCCAAACACAGCCCACAGAGAGCCGCCGACTATCAGAAGGGCCCCACTGCTGGGACCAAGGGCAGTGACAGTCGCCCAGGGGCCGAGTGTCCCTGAGATGCACCAGGAAACACGGGCCCAGGCTGGGCTCTGTGCACCCAGTGAAGCTCACCCGAAGCCCAAAATGCAGCAGTCCCAGGGGAGGGGCAAGGCTGGCCCAGCCTCGGAGAGTGAGGGCCTGGTTCCCGGGAGGCCGGACAGGCAGGCAGGCGTGTGGACTGGGCGCCGATGCCCCGAGGACAGGGCCTCCCCCAGCGCCCGACACCTTCTTTTCCTGGCCCAGAGCTGGCACCACACAGACCTGCAGGAGTCTGATACCGCACGTACCAGACTGGACTGGACCCCAGGGCCCGCAGTCGCCGATGGGAGTGAGGGGCCCTTTCGTGAGGGCTGCTCGCTACTCCTGCAGCCACTCACAGGCCTAGCTCCCCCTGACCTCGTACTTGCGCTGCCAACCCCACCAGGGAGGGGAGCCCCTGTCCTCTCTGGCGGGGCCTCCTCAGCAGGAGTCCCAAGCATGCGCACGGGAGCCCTGCTTGGGGTCTGTTCCTGGAACGGCAGCGCCGCTGTCCGCACGGAGCTCTGACAGCCACGGGTGGAGGGGCTGCAGTGGCCACTGCCCTTGCTTTTGGTTTCCGCGTGGAGGACCTCACTGGAGGGATGCTCCGGGCCTGGTCTCTCCCCCGCAAACCCCCTGAGGGGAGGACGACTCACTGAGCAGCCACCCTTGGAAGAATGGACGAGAATGCTCAGCTCAGCACCTTGTGGAGTCCTGCAGGGGGACTGCCTGCCCCACGGCATGGGGTGCCCTTTTCTCTTCCAAGACATGGTCAGCGCCCGCCCCTGCAGGGACCAGTGACGGGACGGGGGCGGGGGGCGTCTAATTCTGGCGGGACTTCCTGCAAAGCCTGCCATGGCTATGGCTATGGCCACGCCACCTCTCCAGTCAAGCTTTTATCCTAATAAAGCTAACATCCTTTACTCACGTCTCAGTTGTCTCAGAAGATGGGAGGAAAGAAAGGGATGTAATTACGGCCCCTGAAAACCACAGTGGATGGGAGATGTCTTCCTGGGCAGCCAGTGGACACAGCTTAGAGCACACCCAGTGTGCCAGGGATGGCCACATGCCGGGGGCCACCAAACACAAGGAGTTGTACCCCGTGTTCCCACTGCACGGGGCTCTGGGAGACCAATGGTTGCTCTGAGTAAGGATCCGGACAAGCAGTTACTCAGAGCTTGAGAAGAGCTGCTCTCTGGAGGGACTCCCCAGGCCTCGGCAGAGTTCAGACTTCTGCTTAGGGAAGGGTCTGCTCTGGAGTCCCTGGGGAAGAAAGGCTTCATCCTAGGTAGCTCCATCCTGGCGGGAGGAAGGGGCACCGGTGGGTGGCCACTGCAGGCCCAGGGCATGCTGGGGTGAGAGCTCTCATCCCTGTGGGAACATCACGGTGGCCGCTCCACAAAGAAGGTCATAGCAGCGGGCACAGGTACAGGAACCGGGGCCCACTCTGGAGATGGCGCCGGGGTGGGGAGCTGGGCGCAGACCCTGAAAGACCCCACCCGTGGGGGGAACCTCCTCTCATGGTATCTGGGCACCCCCTGCCCCCTCGGGCGGTCGTTCCTACTTCTGCCTTTACCGGAGGCCCTTCACTGTGGGTGGAGCAGGGTGTCACCTGCTGGGCACCAGACACACACACACGCCTGCCAGGAAGTGCCCCTCTGTGGGGCTGCACCTGTCCCAGGAGGTTGGCTGGATCCGCAGTCCCTGTCCTAGACACGTTGCCTCAGTAATGATGCTCTGGGGAGAGCATGCCTGATGTGCACATCGTGACATCGTATCCTCCAACGAGCCCAGACCAGGCGCTCTCAACTTCGGGACACGTTAAGCCTCTGGCCCAAGCTGACAAGCTGCTTAGGGGCCGAGAGGGGATTCCAGCCCCACACTCTGTACACTGCCCCCAGGGGACCGCCGAGGCGGGGCCTGGGGGCGCTGGCACGTAAGTAAGTTGGCTTGGGAGGTGGGAATCTGACTTCCCGCACATCACAGACTAGTCCCGCCTTGGACCAGAAGTTAGAGTTGCCATGGTAACTCGCATCGTCTGTGGGGTTCTGACCCCGCACAGGGAGGGTGAGCTCAGACTTCCTCTCCAGTGCAGTTTAACTGAGCGAGAAGCAGACAGGCTGCCGAGTCCCGCCGAGTCCTGCCCGCAGCACCCAGCTCCCATCTGCCTGGAGGGAGTAGCGGGAAACTTTAAGAACAGATTGTTTGCTCTGATTGAGGGTTTTCATCAAATACAATAGTACATTAATAATTGCTGGGAGGACACGATTAGGTAATATACAATTCAAGTTTTTGACTGATAAAGAGACAGACATTTAATTCAATTTAGTCTTACAAACATTTAGGCACCAATTCAGTTTTCCTACCGAACAGCAGATTTCACAAGTGAGCTTTGATTTTCTTCCCTCTCGCCCAACAAGCTATGAAATTGTAACAAAGTGTGTAACGTGGACCTTTCTCCCTTTCTATGCAGGACGCAGATAACAGGACTGCTGGCCTGGAACAGCAATTATAAAGATAGCTGTGACCAGTCTTCGTCTTTGATGGAGAACTGGTGTCTTACCAAACACACAGTTATCTTCCCCTCCGGAAATGGGAACACTGCTTCTGCTGGTGCTAATTTTGGTGGCAAGTTTCAGACTATCAAGATGACGAAACCTGCTAAAATTCACTGGGGCCCTCAGGACATTTCAAAGGATCTGCACCCTCTATGCCCTCTCCTTTAAAGCCTGTGCTACACGAAATGCAATTTTTATCAACAGCCACGAAGCTCATAATATCACAGCTGCATTGAAATCTTCACGCTGTGAAATCTAATTCATCCAGTACGCGAATCCATCACTTACACAGACCCTTTCTCAAATGCTATAAAACTTCCAAACCCATAGATTTGTCTCCAACAAAAATAACACGAAGGGGCCTTTCGATCAATAATGGAATCCCTCTGATTCTGGTGCCGGCTGAATATTTTCTCCAGCTTCGCCTTTGTTCTTGTGGGTAGCAGCCCACAAGGGAAAGAGCCTGTTTTCACTTGCGGCCTCATCAATACCTAAATCCTGGTGAACAAGTGACACCGAGAAGCTGTAATCAATGGCTCCCTGTGCGTTTTTTCTTCTGGTCAAATGGTTCAGCCCCACTGACAGCCCTGACACTTAGAACATGATGCTAAATCTTTATCAACAGCCATCTGGGTGACGGGCAGGACAAGGCTCAGGGGGTCATTAACGCTCATGGCAATCTGTGAATAAACTAACTCCTCAGGAATGCGTTTGTTTAGAAGAAGGTGGAGAAACTCTCTGTGCAAGTATTGATCGCCTTTGAACTGCATTTAGCAAATTCTGTCTGAGGATGAGTGGAAGGGTGCTTTACCGGGGAGGGCGTGAGGCCTCTTCAACCCGCCCCACCGGAAGACGGCCTGTCCCCCAGGCTGGGCCTGAGAGAGGGTCTTCCGGAAGGCTGCGAAACCATTTCACCTGGGCTGTTGATTCCTTCACGGGAAACCATGGAAAAGCCAAGGACCTGGAATGGGACGAAACTCCCCCACCACACCACCGCAAAAACCGCCCCTCAGCCTGGCGTGGGGAGAGCAGCCCAGGCCAAGAGCACGTGCCGTCGCGGGAGCCAGCACGTGTCCTTTTACCGCCAGCCGCCTAAGGAATCAGTGCGCAGTGGGCCTCACGGTGGTCTGGAACATTCCACGTCCACCTGCCGCTCTCCTGCTGAAATGCACAACCGTTCTTCCCGGCCGGAACACAAGATGTTTTCAGCGGGTAAGCCTCTACGATGTGCTATCTGTGCTGGAGCCCACGTGTGTGGTGCTGTGGCCGGGCCCCTGCCATCAGCGCCGAGAAGGGGGACACGCCAGCCAGTCCCTGACTAGGCCCCTTCCTCCCTCAGGTCCCTGGGTCACCACTGAGATCCCTCGGCCCGTTCTGAGGAGGTTCTCTTTTACCAACTTTGTGGGACCCCTCTGAGGGCGGCTGATTCCCGCCGAGCTGCCCGTGCTGCACCACGCAGCAGGCATCTCCTTGCAGCGGCACCTCCGGTGCCTCTGAGCCACACCTGGAGGCCTCTGTCGGGTCCTCTGCAGCCTCTCATCAAGTTGAGGTCCCTGCATGAGTCACAGGCAGCACCCAACTACAGAGGAACGCCCAGGGAAAGGCCACAGAGGGCTCACCACCTCCTGTCACCCTTGGCACGGAAGGGAGCTGAGAAGAGGGGACGCGGTGCGGGCAGGATCCTCCGCCCGAGTGCGTCGTCATGGCCACCCTCGGCGTGGGCACGCGATGGGGATGTCGAGACTAGGACTTCACGGACGGTAGAGTTTTAAGCCCTGTGAGATCCTGTTTTATAAATTTCAGTGGCTGAGGCCATACTTGAGCAGCGACAGTCATAGAGATCAATAGCAAGAGGAGAGAGTCCCGCTGGTTGCAGGACAATAAATGTTTCTGAACATCACCACAAGCGCCATCGGCGGACAGCCAAGGCCTCGCCACTGCAGAGTGAGAAACCGCGGGCGTCACGGGGCAGGTGAGGGGCTGCTCATCTGTGTGCGTCAGTGAGCAGAGCTGTTTCACGGCAAGGATGGGAGCCACGCCTGCTGATGGGGCGGGCGGTGCCAGGACGCGAGGCCAACCTCAGGGCGGGAGGCCGGGAGGCTGGGAGGGAGGGCAGAAGGACCACGTCTCCGCGTGGGGTGTGAACAGGAGCGTGGCCTGAAACAGGGATGGAGATGGGGGACAGAGGGAGAATTTCTACACAGCACGGTGATGCCGTGAAGCAGGAGGGTGCAAAGAAGTTAGTCCCCAGAGTTCTCCCTCGAGGCCCTGAGTGGACACCACAGCACGCTCTGGGTGGTCTCTCTATCCAGAGCAAAGTCAAACTGCCCCAAACTGAGTGGACCTGGGAGAAGACGGTGGCCTCCCAGAGGGAAGGTGTGACGTAAGCTTCACTGGGAGACGTGAGTAACTACACCTAGAAACTTGACTCACCGTCACCCCACGCTCAGCGCGGAAACGCGGCCCGTAGCGCACAGAGGAGGCGTACGCGAACGACGTAGCTGGGCCGCCGCCACTACGGCACAACAGGTGCAAAACGACATGCTGACCAGATCCACCGGCCTCCATCGTGGAGACCAGGGACACGGGAAGTGGGGGGCTGTGTCATCGTATCACATATTGCTCCTGACGATCTGAGATATTTTCTTATGGAAGAAAACTCTTCTCCGGGTCACATGTACATTAAGGCAGCGCCCCCACTACAGACCTCCAGGAGCTGCTGCTTAAGAGCAACAGTGCCGTTTTGGGAGAAAGGCCAAGAAGCTGCCATCTCCTCGAGACACCGGCTCTGCCCTCGGGCGGCCGCGAGCCGAGTGGCGAGAGCTGCCGAATGCCGTGTGCAAAACGCCAGCCTCTGCCCTGCGAGCAGGGGTGGAAGTAGTTCTGAAAACACAGCAGGGCCACAGCAAGTTTTCAAAAAGTGGGGCCTCTCTGATTTAGTAACTTCCCATCCCATGATGTGATGACAAGGGAAAGAGCTTGTTTAGTAACTTGATTAGTAACTTCCCATCCCATGATGTGATGACTCCCTTTGCTTTTCCTGATAGGATGGCATTCTTCTACCATATGAGAGACTTTCCTACAGCTTTAGGGAGAATCCATTCCCAATGTGATAGCAGGCCCTGGCGGGCACTGGAGACTAAGATCGGGAATATTCCAGGGCCCCATGCAACTGTGTGGGGTCTCCCAGAGGGCCGAGCTGTTGTGCGGACAGGGGTGCCCTTCCTGCCCACCTGCAGGCTCCACAGGCGTGTGTGGCCTTGGCCAGGCCCACGTCACGGCCTCTCCACAACCCACGCGGACTTCCTCCCTGAGGCTGGACAGCGCTTGGCCCACGTGTGGCGTGACGGGGAGCAGAGGTGACCTCTGCACTCCTGGGAACGACAGGCCTGCGGCCACCCCACACTGAGGCCTGACCCTATCCCCTGGGGAGATGGCCTTGCGTGGTCCGTGAGTCCTGCTCTCAGCCTAGCCTGACTGCAGACTCAAGGGGGGACAACGACGTGAAGGAGCTTGGGGACACGCCCGAAAGCGATGAGTCATCCCAGGTCCCAAGGGCCACGGCCTGGACCTCCTGACGGAGCAAAGCCCCCAGGCGACGGGGATGGGTTTGAAAACACCGCGGCACGTGTATTTTTCTAGAACATAAGCTCTCGTGCGTGGGTCTGTTTTGTTTCCTGCTGTACTCCCGGCACCTGGAAGAGCGTCGGGCACACCCTAGGCACCCAGCGTGCCCAGCTGTCCAGTGAACGAATTGCCGTGTGCTCGCCACTTCTCCAGGCTTCGCCGCCCCGGGCTCCCTGTGACGAGCAGCTCCCGTGGTTCTGACACGCATCGTGGGGCGGGGAGGGTCTCGGTGGTGCGTGGGAAAGCTTCTTTACCACCTTCACCCCACCAGTGCCACCCATGCCTCTTCCAGAGGTCCCCACCACAAACGCTTCCTGTCCTCCCCGCCCACTGCAGCCCGGGCTGCCCCTGAAACCCGCTTCAGTCAGAGGACACTGTGACCCCCTGAGCGCAGTGCCCAGGCCCCCCACTGACCACGGCCATGCTGCCGCCACGGGGACACAAACTCACAGGATTGCTTCTCATCGCCTCTCCCACGGCCCGCGCTGCTTTGGGGTTGCCCGCCAGGGCCGCTAATTGCTGGTAAGAAACCGTCTCTCCGAATTTCACAGCCTTCAGCAGCTTCCACAGCACCTGGCTGGTGAACGAATCTGAAGGGAGAGAGCAGAGTGACACGATTTGGGCCAACGGCTCCGACAGCTTGGATACAAACGGCTTCCAGTCCTGAAAGAGAGGGTACATCAACATACACAGAGGCGTTATTCTCAATGAAAACAGCTCCGCACGGCCCTGTCACCGTGTCACCCGACACGGAGGAAGAGGCGTGCGACGCAGGGCACGGAGCGGGCCGGCCCCTCTGCAGGTGTCCCCAACCGTGCCTCACAGATCTGCGACTTCCTCCCATCTTCCCCGAGCGCCAGGCAGGCCCGAGACACGCTCTCCCGGCACCCGGGTGTGTATAAATTAGCACGCAGTGCGCTCCGTGAGCACAGAAGGCCCTGCTTGCACACCAACTTCGAAACCTTTTGTTCCGCTGGTTAATTTCCAACTTCGGCTGGGACACAGAAGGAACAGGAAGCCACGGGCTGGGCTCTGATATTATACTAGCTGTCCACATCCGATGGCGGGCAGGCTTAGAATGCCAAACACCAGGGTACACCGGGGCTGATGGTGACCTTGGCTACAGGCATCTGTAATGAGCAGGGCTGCAAAGATAAAACAACTTCATTCCCATCTGAATTGACTAAACCACATCAAATTGCATTCACTCTTCATCCCGCTGCAGGAATGAAAAGGAAAACGCACGACAACATTCCCTCCCTCTGCTCCAGGTTTAGAGCTCTTTCGCCGGCGTGGAGTGCGCTGGGGAGAAGCCTGGCATGTGAAGGAGGCGGGTCTGAACCGACACCTATTGTCTTTCTGAAGGGGACGCACGGCGTGGGAGAACTGGACACGGAGCTGCGGCCCCCAGAGCGGGGGGCGGGAGCTCCCGACGCAGCAACAAAGGGAAGGATTCCACGGGCAGGGGCGCAGTCCCTGAGTGTGTCCCTAATAGCACTAATTACACTCGGCGCCAAGCTGGCCAAGTGCGATTTGGTTCTTAAAGGAAACACACCCTTACATGCGTGTTAAATAATAAAAATCACTTCTTCACTGAAGGGAATGATAATCACTTCACTGGGAGAGAAAAATCTGTTTAGACTTTATTATAACATTAAGCAAATTAAACACCCGCATAATCCAGGTGATACCAGAAAAGGGTCAGCAAAGAAATCGACTTTGTTGTTCATTAATTTACATGGATTAGCAGAGGGCAAGAAGATAGCAAATGTGCTCTAGTTTTTTATGATATAATTTCAAACTCTACACCGTTTGTGGCAGGAGGGTGACTTTGGGGTTAATCAGACTGATTTGTCCTTTTAATTGCTTTCTATTCAAAGAAAATTCATTAGATAATGTTCTCTTCAAAATTCATGAATCAATTTAACTGAAGAAACCACGTTAACAGCTCTGGGTTCATTAGCACAGGCGGTTGTGTGACTAGCTGATTGCTGAGAGCGTTTCCTTAGGCAAACAGACTCTGTTTACTGCGATTTCTTTAGAAAGGGTTTTGAAATCAAACTGTTCACCGTTATCACTGTCGCCCGTTGTTGTGCCTAACTTAAAAAAAAAAAAGGAAGAAAAAAGAAAAGCAAGGCAGCTTGGTGATAACTTGGAGAAAAAGAGGTTTCAGGGATAGCTGTCTCGGAAAAGAAACGATAAAAGCAGCACAAGTCGATACCGCAAGAAGCAGAGGCCGGTCTCCTGCCTTCTTCCCACAGCCCAGCGTTGCTGGTTTCTGCTTTCCGTGTTTTGGCCCAGGGGAAGGATGCTGCCTAGGTCTTCCAGGAGGACAGTCTGGAACTTACTAAACCTGCAGGCATACCGTGAGAGGTGTGTGCAGACAGAAGCTGGAGAGACAGAACAGTTCCGAGAAGCCGCGGCGCAGCTCCCCGGCCACCACCTGAGCGCCAGGCGCTGACGGACTCCTGCCGAGTCACAGAGCGCCCCTCCTTCCAAGGGGAAAAACACTGTAAAAATAAAACAACTGGACGCCCATACATGAGCGCGGAGTTTATCAAACACTTTCAGCTTCACTGTCAAGTTTTCCACGGGAAACCGTTTCTCACCTTGTAGGTACCAGGCAATGGTATTGGGACGAACAGCTCAAGAAACGCAGTATTTGTCAGTCAAGCACATCGTTGTATAAATGTACCTGGAAACTCAATTCCACCTTGTAGGGAGCAAATGCATTTATGAGTCTAAGCGGTGCTCAGAGCCAGCGCCTCCGCCCTGGACCTGTGCAAAATCAGACCTGAGCCCCACCCTTCTGAACGGGGGGGCAACACTCTCGGTTGTTGGGTACCATTCTAAAATGTAGCAAAACCTGCTCATAAAGATTACCATGCTCGATGTGTAAAATACATTCTCTTGAGGCGACCACATCAGTCTTTAGTGGCCGGACCATCATTTCAGGTGCCCTAAGGGGCAACCACTGCAACACCATCCTTTTCTCTCCCGTAAGGTCCTCTGCGGAGAGCACCTGCAGCCTCCGGAGGCCACATTCTGGGTGTTCCTCTCCTTCCCCATCTCCTGCCTGTTCTGGGGTCCGGGTGAGGTCAAGGTAGGCTCTGCTGGAAGACTGCTCCTTAGATCCCCCTTATCTTAAGGACACGGCCATCTCCATTTGAGCTTGGGTGGCTACTTAAACACACCCACCGCAACCACCTAAACCTGGCAAAAACTGTTTTCTAAACTCTCTTCCTGGATTGCACATCGCGAGCCAGGTCGCTGATGATACTGTGCACCTGTAGGATGCCCCGCCATAGCGTCAAACCCGGTGTCCACGCGTGGGTCACGGCCATTTGACAGGTTTCCAACTTTCCAAGGGTTCTCCCTCCCAGGACTTGCCTTCTCTGGCCTCCGGCACAGAGGGGGCACCCAGGCTGGCACACGGGAGCTCAGGATAATCTGGGATGGAGCCAGGTTTCTGACCAGGTGACTCCAGAGGCGAGTTCTGACACTACGTGCTCTTCAAGTGTAAACGAGCTAAACTGACCTGATGCCGCCTCAGCATCAAAGCGGCCACACGACCTTTCCAGGAATGAACCTGGGAGGGAGAACATGAAAGTGGAAGGAAACAGGGGTTCTGGTCCAGGGGGAACAGAGGCAGCGTCTTCTCCCTGCCTATCTCTGCTGAATGCCTTTATAGAGCCCGGGCACAAGGCACAGAGCAGCTATTTGAGGGCCGTGGAAAGTAAAGGTTCGGGAAGAGGAATTTGAAGAAACCCCGCAACGACGCGCCAGTTTACCACTTTTCCCCTCAATAACCCCCAGCCAGGACTGACTGCAGCCTCGACCCCGGCGGTGCTGCTGCTGCAGACAGAGCCCAGGGCTCTCATCACCTTGAGGAGGGAGAAGGACCCCTGATGCTCAGAGCATGGAGGAGCCCCCCTCTGTGCTATTACCTCTGAACTCCTGTACCGCCGCCCCCAAGCAATCTTGCAGTGGTGGGGGGCCCGCAGGTGCTGAAGGCCCTGAGGAGAAACATCCTTTCTGATGGGAAGAGCTATGGTCCCCAAAGGTGGGTGGACCCACTGCTTTCCCCTTCTTTGTTTTCTCACTGCTCGGCCCTAGATGGAAGCACAGTTGCAGGAGTGTGTGGTAGCGCGGAGGACCCCCAAGAACTCGGAAGGACCAGGGAGACTGCAGAGAGAGAGGCCTTTGGGAAAGCACACCAGCAAGTTGTTTATAGATTCCTGGATTCGCCCCTGAGCTGGGCATGTGTGGATCTGCCACTAAACCCAAGACTCCGAGAACTGAGGTAAGGGTTAGACCACTGCTGGGGTCCTGGAGGGCAGACCTGAACGGGATTGCGGAGGCTACAAAGGAACGGGTACTGAAACCACAACCTGCAGAAGCCTGGTCAGGACTCATGGGCTGTATCCAACCAGGTCGTGTGTCTCATAAACAAAAATATCAACATTACTGTAAGATTTACACGAGACCCAGAGCCTCAGGATATCATATTCAAAATGATCAGGTTACAACCCCAGATTACTTAGCATATGAAGAATCAGGAAAACCTCAACTTGCCTGGGAAAAGACAGTCAACAAATGTAAAGGCCAAAGCTGACACAGGAGTTAGAATCACCTGACAACCGCCCCCTCCCTCAAGCTTTCTGAGGTGTGATTAACAAATAAAACTGTAAGATACTTAAGGTGTGCAATGTGATGACTTGATAAACATCACCTGACAACCACTTGAAAGGATCTGTAATAAAAATGCTGTGAGAAGGGAAAATACCCACGAAACAAATGAAAATACAGAGAGTTTTTTTTAAAAAAATAGAAGTTACAAAGAAGAATCAAATGGAGAATTTAGTACTGAAAAATTCAACATACAAAATGAAAACACTGCACTGCATGGGGCTTCTTAGCAGAATGCGGATGCCAGAGGAACAGCCAGTGAGACTGAGGATAAGTCAGCAGAAATGATCAACCAGAGAAACAGGAAAAAATGTCAAAAGGAAACAACCAAAAACAGCCTCGGGGACATGTTGGAAAAGCCAAAAGGTCTAACATGCGTGCTACTGGAGTTCCGGAAGGAGAGAGAGAAAAGTGTGGTGTCGAAGAAAAACATTCAAAGAAATAATAGCTAAACATTTTCCAAATTTGGCAAAAGATATACAACTATAGATTTAAGAAGCTCAGCAAAGTGCAAACAGGACACACCCAAAGAAATCCACTCCCAGACATACCATGATGAAGCTGCTGAAATCTAAAGACAAAGAAAGGAATCTTGAAAACAAAGAAAAATGTTGCATTATTTATAGCAGAACAATGTTTGAATGACTATAGAATTCTTATAGTAACCACAGAGGTAGAAGAAAGCAGAATGGCAATTTTAACGTGCTGAAAGAAAAGAACTGTCAACTTAGAATTCTACATCCAGTTTTGAAAAAAATCTTTCAGGAGTGAAGTTAAAATAAAGACGTTTTCAGATTAAAAAAAAACAAAAGTTAAGGTGTTGCCAGCAGACCTGAAATGCTAAAGGAAGTTCTTCAGTAAGAAGCAAAATAATACCAGAGGGAAGTGTGGAACATTAGGA